CATCCATCCCACATCGACCTACGTACTCACCCACACCCACACCCACACCCACACCCACACCCACACCCACACCCTCGATGCAATTTCTAAGGCTTCCCGAACGCTTATGTAGTCTTGAAGTCTATTGAATTCTGGTGAAATCCCATGAAGTCACCTGAAGTCTAATGAAGTCCAATGAAGTTTCACGAAGTCCCATGAATTCTCATGAAGTCTCTTGAAGCCTTGAAGTTCGCTGTTTCCTCCTCTGTTAAATTCCAATATATTAGTAGTGCACAATGTCTTCTTGCTTGTGATGATCCATTTGAAATTCTTTCGTTGAACTCAGATGATTTAGGTTGAGTGTGAGGTAGAGTGTGGGTGTGGGTATGGGTGAGCGTGGGTGTGGGTGAGTACGTAGGTCGATGTGGGATGGATGTGCGTGTAGGTGTGGTGAGGAAACGTATGCGTACACTCACTGACGCTCACACCCACACCCTCAACCACATCCACATCTTCTGCTGAGAGATTGTCACGTGTTAGAAGTTCATAACTTTTTTTTTATTTCTAACTTTTGATATTAATTAATAAAAGAAATAATAGTTGTATGTATAATAATACAGTTTCCTACTGCTTTACTGTTGTTTTGTGTATTAAAAACTAAATATATACAATGTTTACCTAATAATATAATTGTTATAAAACGTATCTTAATAACGCGATAGAAGATGAGAGTTTGGCTTTTGTTTTTACCAATCTTTAGAAACTATAAGAAATCATTTGTAATAGAGAGAAATCGTTGGAAATCACTAGGAATCAAGAGAAATCATTAGAAATCACGAGAACGAGGTTAGAAATCAGGAAATCAAGAAACCAAGAAATCAGTTTGTTCCCCCTTGCCAATATTCTCAAATAAGGTCCTTGCAGGTTTTTAACCCATTTATCAATGATCACATTCAAGGTAAAAGATAAGCATTTTAGTTCTTGTTGTAAAGGAGTGTCTGAGAGACCCAAGACGTCAATAACTTGATAAATGACATGAAACAATAGCTCTTTTTTGTATTTTCAACATTTCTTGGCAGACTAGGTCGTGCTGCATTTCTGTTTTCACAAAAATGCTTCGTTTAAAGCCGCATAGAATAGTATTCTGACTCGTCCATTATATTTATCTTTATCCTTCAAAACGACTTATAAACATTTGATGAAACCGATAGCGCAATTTAAAATATCTTTTTTTTCGTCAAAGAACGATGCACACATTTTAAAGCAGTTCATTTCGTTCAGAGAGACTTATCTTACAAAAAAAAGATTCAAGTTATCAATTGAAACAGTCTTTTGATAAGGTTATTATAGAATTAGAAAATTGATAGGCATGAAAACAATGAAAGAGAAGTCTTTCGTTGTGCACTCAATTTCATCCGATGTTTATGAGCCATGCAAAACAACAGAAATAACTCTCTGATGGATGAAATACCTCTACAAACGAAATGGGATATATGAAAATAGTACATGACTAGAGCCCTGCGGTTCCAATTTTTTGGAACCGAGAACCGAACCGAGAACCGGATTTTTCTGTTTCTATTACCCGGAACCGTGAAAAAAAACGGGTAGAACCGAAATGGGAACCGGAACCGTAAATCAATGACTTGCTATTTTATATGTTCCAGTAAATCGAAAAAAGCGGTTCCTTTTCGGTTCCGAGAAAATTTTAGGAACCGAAAAAGGAACCGCTTTTTTTCGATTTCGGGAACCGAAACCGAACCGGAACCGACGGTTTCGGTTCGGTTCCCTGGTAATGTTAGGAACCGCAGGGCACTATACGTGACACTTGATAACATTGGTCAGTTTTAGCTCTAGGGAAAATTGAAATCTTTTTGGCTGTTTTCTAAAAGTACACTTTTAATTCGAGTATAATTATGTAGATAAGATATTTCTGATAGCAGCAACGATATTCAGAGAATATATACCAAACTAGACTGCAGAAAGAATATCACATGAAAAAAAAAAGATAAGAAAATGTGCGAGTAAGGTTAGTGATGATATTAGATTGGAACATAAGTTCTGCACGTTTTGTTTTGTTTTTTAGGGAAATTTGAGGCTTTATATCGTGATTGGAAAGAGTTAGAAGTCTGAAATTTTTAAAGTAGATAGTACTCTTAAAGATCTATCTATATTAAAAATTTCAGATTTCTAACCCTTTCTGATCAGGAGATATAAAGCCTCAAGTTTGCTTATAAAACAAAAAAACGTGCAGAACGTATGTTCCAGCCTAATAGAATGGCACTCAAATGCATTCAAAGTGACGTAATTATAACGATGCGAAACAGTCACAAATAATGCCAAAAAATGGTTTGTGTTGTACGCATTCTTTTATCATTTTTAAAACCATTTTCACTTAGTCGAAAAATAGCCATTTTAATGTTTTCTATATGAGGCATTTTTTGGGCATTTTTTGTGACAGTTTTGCATCATTAAAATTATGTCGATTTTAAGGCATTTTAATGCCATTACTCCATTTTTATAACTGTCTGGGTAGTGCCTCACCATTGATATTCGAACAAGTCTATCGTTTACATGCTATTAAACATCAACAATATAAATATGACTTTATCTTATCACAGAGAACTTTATTGTTCTAATGCTTTGTACGCTTTGTGTGTGTTTTTGGTCTTCTTCCTGACAAAAAAAAATCAACATATAAATATTTATTTCGTGAATTACAAGATATTGCTACTGAAATGAATATGAAATTTAGTCCGGTTACTATTATGTCGGATTTTGAACCAGCATTAACAGAGGTTCTTAGTAATGAAGTAAATGCTACATTACCTTTATTTGAATAGACATAGCTATATGTTAGTTTATTTAGTTTCCTAATTGTAATCATGTAGGTTGTTATTTCCACTTTACACAGGCCGTATATCGANGAGAGATTATCAAGCGAAATAACATATGTACGGCAAATTCAGGAATCTTCCTCCTTCGCTCACTAAGTAACACAGGCAGTGGTAGTTACAGGAAAATTGATTTCATGTCGGCGGCGTCTCGCATTTCCTAATTCGACAGACCAATATGAACATGATAAAGTTGATTTGTGTGATTCAAAACCAACTTTTAGTAGTTGGCGAGGTGATGTAGAAAGTGGAATCTTTAATGGTAATGATTCAGAAGTTTCTAATAGACGCACGACTTTTAACAACTTAACAATATCTGGTGGCTTCAATGATGGTGGTGGACTTCGAAATAAAAAAAACTTGTTTTTTAGCACAGAAATGCAAATTATTTAGTACAAGTCACCAAAGTAATGCTGAATGAGGATTCAATTTAGGCGATAATTATTTTTGTTAGCTGTTAGTGTTCCGCCTATTGAACAATATGTTCCATCGACAACAAACGATAATATTTTCAATGATGTAGTAGAAAAAGCTGAAAATTTTGGAAAATATCATCAAACACCAGTTCGTTATATACCTGAAGGTAATTAATCTTCTTTTTCTTCTCTTTGATCAAATAATGATTTAATAAGCAAAGTAAAACCAATTGAATTCTATGAACAAGCTAATCTTGATATACAAGTTTTATCAAATATTCGTCGTGTTCATTTTGAAGAACCAACACCTGTTCAACGTTATACAATACCTTGTATACGAGAAGAAGATGATATAATAGCTTGTGCAGAAACTGGTTTCGGCAAAACAGTAAGTTTGATTTTCATATTAATTAATTATTTAGGCTGCTTTTCTTTTACCAATTATTTCAAATTTAATTGAATATTATTCAAATGAATTACATGATAAACATGATCCACCATCACCTCTTTGTCTTATTCTTTCATCTACACGTGAAGTTGCTTTACAAACAGAACGTGAAGCAAGAAAATTTGCATATCAAACTGCTGTAATACTTTGTACGTTATAAAAAGAAACAAAATTATCGTTTTTTTTCTATGATTGTTATGTGCTAGATAGGTTCTGCTGTTGGTGTGGTCATGATATGCTCGATATTTGCCATCGTCTTCGAGAAGACTTTCATATTCTATTAGCTCCTACCGGTCGTCTTAAAGATATGCTTGAAAAATACCGAGTAAATTTAATTTAGTTTTTAATATTAAAATCTTAAATTTTTATTAAAGATTTCATTAACAAAAGTGAAATATTTCGTCCTTGATCAAACCGATCAGTCTGAAAAAAAACTTCTCTTATTTAGTTCAATTTCATCTTTTTCTTTTAAGAATGCTTGACAAAAGTTTTGAACGAGATATTTGTAAATTAGAAGCTCTGGTTTACCATCAAAATATGAACGTTTTACATTTATATTTTCTGCAACATTTTCTGATAGAGTTCGAATATTAGCTCAACATTTTATACGTGGTAATTATATCTTTCTTGTTGTTGGTAAACCTGATGCTACTAATGAAGATATAGCACAAACTATTGAAGAAGTACCAAATGCATTTAAAAAAGATCGAATTTTTCAATTACTTGAATAAAATCTTAGTACGAAAAAGATTTTTATTTCGAAATTTAGCTTTTTTTGTTTAGAATCTGAACGTTGTTTAATATTTGTTGAAACAAATTGAACAGCTGATTATATAAGTGAGTATTTTAATGTAGCCCAAAAGATAAAAGAATATCACCCTTATGTAACACTTTTTTATGGTGTATTTTCGAAACTTGTCAATCAAACGATAATATGATTAAGGTTTTTTCTCAACGTGAAGACTAAGCGATATAGAAATCTAGAATCTATTTGTCGTGTTAGTTCAACAGCCGATCCAATAAGATATTATATGTAAAGATGAATTCCTTTATACTCTCTATAATTCTGCTACATTACTGATCTTTTCGAAAACGAAAGATTAAACAGTTATTTTCTCTCGTCGAGACAATTAGGCGAAAAACAATGTTTGTTGATTCGATCGTCGAAATTGACGACCAACAAGCTATCTTAAGAGAGTGATAAAGGTTGAAAGTACTTTATTAAAAATTCTCATGATTGACGCTCGTTTGCACCAGTTTTCCAAGCATTCAATATGGGAAAGAGAATTACTCCAGTCAATCGACATGAATTTGCATAAGAATATCCATAGAGAAGTAAATACGAGGAGACTATTCAACGCGTATTGAACACTAAAACGCGGAGTGAATAGGTCGGTGCATCTTCAGCTATGCATATGAAGATAGAGAAATGGATCGGCGACAATCGTGACGATCCAATGTCGCGATTGCCAAAAATCATTGTTTTCTTGGGAAATTTCCAACGGCAAAATGAGTAATTCCTTCACTTCCACACTAACATCGAGTCGGGTAAGATTGGATGGCAAAACTCGTTTCCATTCATTCGGATTGACCATCCGTTCACAAGATGACATTACCCGAATATGAAGAGTTCGAAGACGAGACACATAGGCAAGTAGCCATTCGATCGACAAGAAAAACCACAAAGGCGATTGCACAGTCAGATGGATGAGCGCCGATGGTGGAAGAGAGGAAGAACGAACAAAAGGTCGTATATTCGATGACTCATTAATATTACTCGCCACGTGCAGATTGAGTCGTCGAAGATGAGGCGAATGAGCAAGAAGTATGGTGGCCACCTCGTGTATTAGACTTTGTTTATGACTAATTTGAAGATATTGGACTGTGTTCGGTTGAAGATGAATAAGTTCTGAAGAAAATGTTGCATTCGGCAAGAGGTATTGACGCTGTTCGGGATATATGGAGAGATAGAGATACCAATAATTTGATCTAACATACGTCAAAGAGAGATGAACAGGATTCACTGCAAGATGATATATTGCAATATTGAATAGACGATCCGTTTCATCATCAATGTTCAATAGAGTGAGTGAACGAATGCACGAGAAATGGTCAACAACGAGTTCATCACGTAGTACAAACTCGCTGTGACACTTGATAGACGACCTAAAAGATCTAATCCGATGTGGATCGAGTGATGGAAGGTGTCGAATGATGTGAGAGAAAAATCCTGTTCGAAGGAATACAGTCTAGATTAACATCGATGGTATGAACATAGGTGAGAACAGAGTCGAAACGAGAGTTAAGCGATGAGAATATGAAATACAGAGAATACCAATCGAAATATTCGAATAATTCCATAAGAAGTTCATTTGACATGGACTCGAGCGTTGTTGTCGTCGAACACGAGTTCATAGACGCTTGACCTTTTGACAGAGGAACAATCGACATCTGGTTCTTCTCAATGTTCTCTGTTGTCGACATGTTGAAATACGATGATCACATTAAAAACACCCACAGCACCGNTCGAAGACGCGGTACATAGGCAAGTAGCCATTCGATCGACAAGAAAAACAACAAAGACGATTGCACAGTCAGATGGATGAGCGCCGATGGTGGAAGAGAGGAAGGACGAACAAAAGGTCGTATATTCGATGACTCATTAATATCGCTCGCCACGTGCAGATTGAGTCGTCGAAGATGAGGCGAATGAGCAAGAAGTATAGTGGCCACCTCGTGTATTAGACTTTGTTTATGACTAATTTGAAGATATTGGACTGTGTTCGGTTGAAGATGAATAAGCTCTGAAGAAAATGTTGCATTCGGCAAGAGGTATTGACGCAGTTTGGGATATATGAAGAGATAGAGATACCAATAATTTGATCTAACATACGACAAAGAGAGATGAACAAGATTCACTGCAAGATGATATATTACAATATTGAATAGACGATCCGTTTCATCATCGATGTTCAATAGAGTGAGTGAACGAATGCACGTGAAATGGTCGACAACGAGTTTGTCACGTAGTACAAACTCGCTGTGACACTTGATAGACGACCTAAAAGATCTAATCCGATATGGATCGAGTGATGGAAGGTGTCGAATGATGTGAGACAAAATCCTGTTCGAAGGAATACAGTCTAGATTAACATCGATGTTATGAACATAGGTGAGAACAGAGTCGAAACGAGAGTTAAGCGATGAGAATATGAAATATAGAGAATACCAATCAAAATATTCGAATAATTCCATAAGAAGTTCATTTGACATGGACTCGAGTGTTGTTGTCGTCGAACACGAGTTCATAGATGCTTGACCTTTTGACAGAGGAACAATCGACATCTGGTTCTTCTCAATGTTCTCTGTTGTCGACATGTTGAAATACGATGATCACATTAAAAACACGCTCAATAAGTATGTGCGTCTTGGACGGACGGAAAAGAGAAAGAATCGACCGTTTATCTATATGTGGACCATTGTTTGCAGAAGGACCATTCTATAGATGAATTACAGTAAGAACTATCATAACCGGTTTCAATCTTGCTGCATGGTCCATCAGATGGTTTCTATTCGAACTCCTATATGTCGGTTGTGATCAGGCGATGGAAACCGATAACAGTAGCTCTTATTGCAGCGTAAATAAACGCCATCTGTCATTGTGAAAAGAAATTTATAGTTTTGAATGTCAAAACTTGAGATTAGAGGTTGTAATTAATAGCAAAATTGCAGATCCCCTTATCTTGTGAAGTCTTTTATGATGGGTCCTGACATACATACAGGAGCTATCCGAGTACAAGCAATCTAATGAGGATGGGTGTGAGCATTCATTTCACCTTCATTCGCATCCATCCTAGTAGTTGCACAACTTTGTATTCTACTGAAGACAGTGTCGATTTTTTTCTTTAAGGAAACAACAACAGATCATTAGAAGCATTTAGTCTTAACAAAAATGAAAAACTAGAAAAAAATCTTCGAATGAATGAGCATTTAATTCAAATTGCGAATTTATCCCTAATTTATTTGTTTTTGAAACTATTCAATGTCGACGAAATAAATTCAAGTTTTACATATTTCTTTTGTAATTTAATGAATGATTTTATTGTAGCAATTGATACTAAACCAAGAGATAAATCACGAACATGCTCAGGATTCAACGCAGCTAATACTTTAAGCACGAAAAATTTTATTCTATTTGTCATATAAATCAAATTTGTTTTCTTATTGTTAACTATGTTTCATCATTGCCAATATCAAAAGCACATCAAACAATTGCATTATCATTAGCCAATTCATCAAATGAAACACATTTTTATTTATCAAATCGATGAAATTCAGAGTACAAGGTTTAGAACTTCATATTGTTGGTTAAATAAGCAATAAATTGATTGTTTTTATTTAATACACTATATCATCATCAACAAACACTTAAAGAACTTACAATAGTCAAACGTTGTGTTGAAGTCAACTAACGAGAATTTGCTGAAATCATTTATGTATGTTATGGCTATAGCATTCTTGATTGTATTCTTCAACGTATTTTGTTAGATAATACCTGATGAGGTTTGTTCACAGTCATTGTAAAGTAAACTAAACGAATTCATTGGACTTTTCACTATTCTTATTGTTGGACATTAGGAAATGTTTCTTCTTCATTCTATATCTCAATCATACACTACTTTGGTAGAGAGTAGTTTAACCCTTTGGTGCCGGGTTTTTTTCTGAAAAAATAAAGAATGTGTTATCAGGGTGTGGGTGGGTGTTCATTTAAGTGATCAATCACACCCACACCCCACACCCAAACCCTTCATTGAACTAATGAACAAGATTGAATTATTTTTTAGAATTTATTTAGCCTTAATACCTAAATACAGTAAAACTTTTCTAATGTGAACATTGTTGGGACTGACGAAAATCGTTCGGTACAACAGGGTGTTCAGACAGGAGAGGTGTCCAAGCAAAACTAATGACGCCCTTAGATTTATCGCATTTTGTGTCCCTTAAAACACTGCTTTTCGTCTATTCGAGATGGCGTCCTCTATTCATGTTCATATTGATGAAGTGGATATATACAGTCAGGACTATAAAAATGCGTCCACATTCAGAACCAAGGTGTGTTCATCTAGAAGAGGTGTTCACTATTAGAAGTTTTAACCCTTTCAGGACCGATTTTTTTTCTATCGAAAATTGCTTCTTTTTCATCAGTTTATCGAATTTGACTCAAAATCTTTTCATGAAAAGTTTATGCTATTCAAAGAAACAATTTTTCTCGTCTGTTACGCAAAAAGCCAGTTTGCAAGTAGAGTATTCGATGGTTGATCGAACTTGCACTTCTTTTGTGCTACAGTAAGCACATCTCTTTCGTATTCCATTGATAGGCAAATGCATTCCACCATCCAACTGATCAGCAGATTGTGGTGATGCTAGTTTATGGTTCTTGTCTGAAGGAGGTCGCCCAAAATTTGTTCGTCCAGTATCATAACAGAGAGACGAAACCAGGGAAATCAAATAGTTCAAGTACGATAATTCATTCTGGCATATACATCATTCCTTCCAATTTGTTCGGTTATTCCTCTATTTCTCTCTATTAGTCATCGTTTCTTGAGTTGTTTCTTCTCTCTCATTGACTGGAAGAAACTCAATATTCTCTATGTCGTTTCGTATTTTCATTGCCGCACCTCAAGACTTGGCAATATATAAGAGCAATAGAAAGTGAGAATCTTACTGAATA